CCTATCACATGCACTCATATTTTAGTGGAGGGAACGAAATATTACGCCCTAATTTTATTTAGGTCAAACCAAAGTGGCTCCCACTGGCTTTCTCAAAGCTAGATTTAAATGGGCCCTAAACGACTAGGGTTCCGCACGATTCCTCTTGGGGAGGAAGCTGATGTGGGGCCAATCAAACGGGGAGATCATCCAATGATCTTATGGACATCATGACAATGATGTGCATTCAACTATGGTGTGTGAAATAGCCACTATCGAAATAATCATGGGCCAAGTACTTATGGTCCATGTACGTAGCACATCACACATCCATACATCACATGCATGAAATAAATTGATCAAATCAATTAAAATATCTGTAAAATCCATAATCAATTAGATTAAATCAGTATCATCCCAACAGAGCCCATAATGTTATCATATAACATTATCTAGGTACATGGGCTGTACTACAAAAAGCAGTTCGTTCTATGTAACTAATTTAGGGCTGATTCAGTCATTATCATATTAAAATTAGGTTTTATAGAGGTGAGCCGAATTAAAGTTTGAAGTGGGCCATCAACCCTCTAGCCTAAATCGAATTAGGGTTAGCAAAAAAAACAACCCCATCGAACCAATCAATTCCAACCAGTTTGGACCAAATCTGGTGTAAATCGGCCCAAGTTTTAGTGTCCAATTCAAGAACAATGGTATGAAAATAAATTAATTCAAGATAATAAAATTATCAAGAAATTAAAATAAGAGGGCTGCACTGTGATTTTCTTGGATATCCTGCAAACCTGCAAAGAACAGTTAATCGTAGATTGCAGAATCGATATCTGCAAAATCACAGATCGCAGAACTTGTTTCTACGAAAATTTCTTCTCCTCTGTTGCGCGTTCCAGCAATCTCCAGATGGAAATAAAATAAAAAAACCTAATTTTTCTATTATTACATCGCATCAAATTCCTATACAATTTATCTAAAAATAAAAACTTACTTACATACTAGAATTGAATAGAAGAGAAATCGCAGGGTGTGCCAATCTTGGCACCATAAAGATTCGATCTCCATCACACGTGCAACCAAAAAATTCAAGAAAAATTCACAGAACTATTTTATAAATTTCAGAGAATAATAAAGATTTATTTTCCAAATCATCTGCCCATAATCTGGGAACCAATTTCCAGAAAAAACGCTAACTGCACAAATCGGGTAGAACGCTTTCTGCCCATTTGCGTAGATTCCGATCTATCCTAATTTGGTTCAAGACTTGTACCTGGCTCTGATACCACTGAAGGGATGGGAGATCCATCATATGGATGGCCAAACCCTGTAGGAAGGTTGGGCGAAATTTTTTAAATTTCTTCACTCTCATTTGGGAATCCTATTCCCAATTTAGAAAACTACATTTTCAAGGTTCGTTCTTGTAACCAAACCGGACCAAATCTGAAACCAAAATAAATGAGGGATATACCTGATACAGAATCCACGCAAGAATGCTCCTCCCAACGTAGGTATTCACACCCAAAGAGAGTACCAAATCCTCCCTCCACTGAAGATGACACAACTTAGAGTGAGGTAGGATCAACATGTAGTTCTTCACCAAGAACTAATGATACTTCAACAAGAATCGAATGGGACAGTAAGCACAACTTCTAAATTGTTTATTCTAGCAAGAAACAATATCAAGATCGAATCTTGATCCAATCCAAGAGCAGAAGGCAAGAGCAGGAAGAAAAAGAGCAGAAGGCAAGAGCAGTCTAACTGTGTTGTCTTCTCTCTGTATTTAGTGAATGTGTATTTGGAAGTTTGCCCTGCTCTCTTATTTATAGCCTTAAAGAGACAAGTTCCTAATCCCATTAGGAGTTTCTTAATCAAAATCTTTTATTTGGATATGGACTCTTTAAGTAATAAGGATAATCCCTTATTTTATCTGTAAATAAAGATCAACATTCCTAATCAAATTAGGAGTTCCTTTGATCCAAATCTTTATTTGGATCTGGACTCTTTAAGTGGATAAGGATAATCCCTTATCTTATCTGCTGATCCAAATTCCAGATTCGCCCTTATTTAATTAATCTAATTAACCTAGTTCGAAATGGGCTTTTAGGCCCATTAAGCTTTCAAGCTCACTTCCTCTTTAATGCTGGCTAGCTTAGCTCTCTTTGTATGGCGTGAGACCCTGTCATTGATCTACACATCAGCCACATGGATTCAACCTAGCATCTGTTACAAGGCCTGGCCGAATTCACTGTTGAATACAATGAACCCCTGAGTCCATCACTGTGGGCTCTTAATGGGTCCAACATTTACACTAAATGGTCATTGGGTTCAACCATCATATGAAGGCCCAAGGACTGTGGGCAGATGTAAGATTAGCCCATCAGGTATAATCCTCAATGGCCTTACACTTAACCTCTCAGCCCATAATGATCAAACACTGCCCGACAAGAGAGGACCTCTCTCTCGGCTGCAAGGTGCAGTGCTGCACTCTCTACTCACATGGATCCCGGGAATTAAAACCTTTTGCGAACATTTTGAAACCATAATATATATATATATATATATATATATATATATAAATATATTTTGCAGAAAGAAATTTCAACGGTGACAGTTTAGGTTTCCATCAGAGAGAGTGCATCCCCGATCATTCACTTTGTCCGACAAAGGGACTGATCCTGTCACTATGATCTCTCACATAGATGAATTTTCAAACTGTTCCAACATACCCAGGTTTTGACCCCCTCTAAGGATCTCACTGATTGGCATATCAAAGACAACCCAATCATACACCTAGTGAAGTATCATAATCTAGTCTATGGGTCAGGTGTAACATTCAAGTTTTGCCCATCTATCTCCAAGGTCCAAGGCAATACTGAAATTTTGGTTCGGTTCAGTGTTTCAAGAAAACCCACACTGTACCTCAGGTCTCACCCTGGCAGCTGGGACAAGCCACCCCAACCAACTTGGTGGTATATCAGTGTCAACCTTGACAGGATAAATCTCCGCAGATCTATCCAACGGCTGTGAAGATTCTAAACTAACACGAGTCTCATAGTATTACATAGAAACACACCATAATAACATGAATCAAATATGTACTTTATTCATTTACAATAAATGTCATAATGTACATCATGCTGATTGGAACTAAGGGCATACACTGTTTAACAGGTTTTTGTGAGAGAAGTTGATTTTGAAGCCTTGCAGACTACACGAACAATAGCTGTAGAGGGAGGTTTAAGATTTGAGGGTGACTCAAATTCAATGACAGGGTCAAACTTGAGTAGAAGGGGTTATATCAGGAGGAAAACAATACACAAACAATCACCTATTTCTGCATCACCAGAATCATGGATTGTTGATTCTTTCGTTGAATACGACTCATCGGTTGAATCACCATTGTCAATCGCCCAAGTTTCATGTAACTTTGATTGCACTAAAAGGTAGGAGAATCGAAGACTCTTGAGAATTGAGAATGGGGGAGTTGATGTGTCATTCAAGGACGGTCTGTACTTGGAGGAAGAAAAACGAGGGCGTTGGCGATGCAATGGACCTTTAGCGCATGAGACTCGCAATTGAAGGTGTAGAGTTGGGTGAAGATGTGGGGTTCGGGGTTAATGTACGTTGAGGGATGTTGATGCATGTTAGAATGAACAACCCCAGTAGAGGCGGCGACAACAGTGGCGGTGGTGTTGTGGTTAGCATCGTCGGCATCAGATGAGCTAGGACTTAAGCCTACTACCTTTTCCTCGTCTTTGTCTTCATCTTCTTCATCTCGAAAGACCATAATTTCAGGAATTGAAGGGAGTGAAAAGGGTTGTTCTTGGTGCGTCTGTTGCAGTTGTGGTTGTAATTCTTTCCCATGATTTGTGATTTCGTGGTGGAGATGGTGGTGGTGGTCGTGGAGAAGGGCATCGGTTTCGTCAAGATTCATGAACGACGAGATGATTGTAAACGACTTCAGAATCTACGCTTCATCTCTCTGACTCGCTCTCTCTCTATCTCTCTCTCTCTAACATTGGGATGTTGTTTGATCGAGGGTTTCTTTCTCTGTTTCTTTTTCTTGTATTTTTTTTTTGCTTTTTTCTTCCTCATAGGGAAACAAGTCATCTGTGGGTAATCGGTGCCGGCGACAAGACTCTGATTTAGGGAAGGGAAACAAGACTTGTTTCCAGTGCTGACAACAAGAGCCATCTTCTCCAGCAACGGTTGAGTAAAAAAGGGGATGCAACAATGTTCCAGTGACAGCAACAAGAGTAATCTTCTCCGGTAACGACACTAGTTTCTTCGATTTCAACTTTTTTGACATCGTGTTCGAGCGTTGATTCCAAATTTTCCAGCGACGCATTCGCTTGACATCACCGGTGTGAGGAGCTGGTTTTTGAAATCTCAGGTAACTGCAAGTGTGAATAGTGGTTCCCACTTATAGAGAAATTATAAATGGGGTCATTTTCGTAATTTTGACTAAAAATCCATGCATTGCTTGAAAATAACTAATGGATAATTAAGTTTTTTTATCTTCTAATTACGGTACATTAACGTCAAGTACTAAATCGTTATAAAATGAAAATTGGAGTATTAAATTATCGCATTTTAAAATTCGAATACTAAATTAACACTCGGCTTAGAATACAGGTATCTATAGGAAATTTTTTCTAATAAATAATATAATTATGGATTTGAAATCAGAAATTTGCATTGGGCTGTCCGTACTTCTCCGTATAAGTATCGGAGATGTCCCTATGTGCGACCAGAACCCAGAACATGCTGTCATGTCGGTGTGAGAAGCGGATCCGGACATTGCCATGCAACACGTGCTATCTGCTCGCATTTGTTACTCTTCCCACGTGAGATTACTCATAATTATTTAATTATTTTCTCATTTTTTTAATACGCAGGTAATCATCACATCGACTGCAACTAGAGAGTGACACGTAACCTGCTGCTATTTAATTTTGATCAAACAGCACTTACACAGTAATACTCTATAAAAGAAAGGGGTTTTTACCGTTCAGTCTCTCCCAAGAGCAAGAGGCCGATTCGATCCATCTCTAAAGCCTTTTGAGAGAGAGAAAAAGAGAAGCGGACGACATGGAGGACATGAAAGCTCAAGCTCAAGTGTGGAAACACATATACGGCTTCGCCGAGTCACTCGCTCTCAAATGCGCGATCGAACTCGGGATCGCGGACATACTCTACGAACATGGTCAGCCCATGACTCTCTCCGAGTTAGCCTCCTCCATCCCTCTTCCCTCGGTCAGCCAAGACGGATTGTACAGGGTTCTGCGTTACCTCGTCCACATGAAACTCTTCGACCTGCAGGTCGATTCCGACGGGTTAAAGAAGTACTGGCTCACTCCCGCGTCCAAGCTCTTGGTCAAAAGCCAAGAGAAGAACCTCGCATCCTTCGCTCTCCTGATCTTCTACGAGATGGACGCTTGGCACCACCTAAGTGCCGCAGTGGAAGGTACCGTGACACCCTTTGAGAAGTGTCACGAGGGCGAGGACCTCGAGGAATTATTTGGCAAAGACTCGGTGATCAATCGATTGTTGAGCGAGGGGATGACGAATCTAACGAGTTTGATGGCGGACGCGCTGGTGAAGGGCTGCAAGAAGGCGCACATCCTTGATGGAGTAGGGTCCCTAATTGACGTGGGCGGGAGTACTGGGGTAGCTGCGCGTGCCATCGCTAAGTCGTTCCCCAGTATAAAATGTGCGGTGCTTGATCTGCCCCACGTAGTAGCCAACGCGCCCGAGTGTTCCGAGGTGACTTGGATCGAAGGCGATATGTTTGTATCCATTCCGAAAACGGATGTGGTGTTCATGAAGGTGAGGGTGAGTAAATTTGTATCAACGAATGAATCCCCAATCAGTGTCTTATATACTTTTTTTTTATTGACCTGGATGATCATCGCTAATTAATTAAGGCTCTGTTTTGTTATTAATTCGTATAATGGTTTCCTGATCAGTCGGTCTTACACGACTGTGGAGACGAAGACTCAGTGAAGATTCTGAAGATATGCAAGGAGGCCATATCGGAGAAAGGAGGAAAAGTAGTGATCGTGGAGATTGTCATGGATGTAGAATCATCTTCATCACCGAACGAGATTACCGGTGCAAAGCTGAATCTGGACATGTCTATGCTGGTCACACCCGGTGGTAAAGAAAGAAGCGAAGAAGACTGGCAGAAGCTCTTCAAGGAGGCCGGTTACAGCCGGTACAAGATCACGCCCATCGCTGCATTCGAATCAATTATAGAAGTCTTCCCTTGAGTCTTTGCATGTTTTCGTTGTCGTCTTTCTAGCTAGTTTAGTTTTTGTTTAAATTTTCGTTCAAAAGTTGTCGTATTAATTTGTAGTTGAGTATATTCTCCAGAGCACCATGCTTTACTGCTCACTAGCTAGCCTCAAGGAATGACAAACGTAAAAGAAAATGAGAAGAAACTGGTGTTTATTCACTTGGCCAACTTGTATTGCTACGTTAACTTAGTTAAAACCGACTAATGGAATGACACCCAATTTGCATACAAGAAAATGAAATCGGTCAGCCCTAGAGTTTTGGTAAGTATATCAGCCCGGTGAGACTTAGTGGAGAGGTGACAGTTGGATGTCCTTTTTTGTATTTCCGAACAAAATGGCAGTCAATGTTAATATAATTCCTCCTTTCATGTAAGACGGGATTTGTTGCAATGTGGATAGCTGTCTGCTTATCACAATAAAGTTGAATAGGTTGTTCTCGATTTCTACTGAGGATCGAGAAATAATAGCTTGTTTCTTGGTTTTCCATGATAGGAGAGATGTTCCAAACATTGTGACATATCTCATAATCGATCTTCGTGTAAGAGGACATGTGGCCCAGCCAGAATTATAGTGCAATTAGCGGATGAAAAGAAAATTCCTTGGCCTAGAGTTCATTACAAGAAAAATAGTCCAAGGCAATAGTCGTGTAAGAGGATATGTGGTCCAGTCAGAATCATAGTAACCTGTAAGGGTGCGTGCAATTAGCGAATGAAGAAAAGAAAATTCCTTGGCCTAGAGGTCATTACAAGAAAAATAGCCCAAGCCAGGCAACAATCATGTAAGAGGATATGTGGCCTAGTCAGAATTATAGTAACCTGTAAGGGTGCCATTAGTGAATGAAGAAAAGAAAATTCCTTGGCCTAGAGCTCATTACAAGAAAAATAGCCCAAGCCAGGCAACAGTCGTGTACGAGGACATGTGGCCCAGTCAGAATCATAGTAACCTAGGGTGCAATTAGCGAATGAAGAAAAGAAAATTCCTTGGCCTAGAGGTCATTACAAGAAAAATAGCCCAAGCGAGGCAACAATCATATAAGAGGATATGTGGCCCCGTTAGAATCATAGTAACCTGTAAGGGTGCAATTAGTGAATGAAGAAAAGAAAATTCCTTGGCCTAGAGCTCATTACAAGAAAAATAGCCCAAGCCAGCAACAGTCATGTAAGAGGACATGTGGCCCAGTCAGAATCATAGTAAACTAGGGTGTAATTAGCGAATGAAGAAAAGAAAATTCCTTGAGGTGGCGTTCCTCCCATGATCGCCACCTTCAAAACTAAAATAGCTAAAAATAATAATCAGGTGACGGTCTTTGGAAATTGACACGGCAATTTCTTGTTCTGAATCGGAGAGAGAGAGAAAGAAGTTGAAACCAAAAACTCTCAAGACTCCCGCGCTCTCCCATGTTCCATAGAAAAAAAATTTTGTAGACAATTCCATCGAGAAGCAGAGATCAATCGAATTCAAGGGAAAACTCAATACCATCTCGTTGATCGACTGAGAATGCAAAATTGATTGACCGAGGAATCAACGGAATACCAGCGTTGTACAACTTTCCATTCTAGCGTTATTCGTTTGAGTAGGCTCCATGGGGTCATGAATCAATCAAGTGAGGGATGGAAAGATTTGTCTCCATCGAAGGCTCCCATACCAGCATCGATCCTATGAAGAAAGGGGATAGAGGGGAACGAAAGACTCACACGTTAAGGAAACATGGTTTTTATTGGGGGCAAGAGAGTCTAAGAAACTAAAGAAGTAGCAACCAAACCCTGGTTTCGTTCATGGAATTTCATAGAAATATTTGTTGGTTTTGAAGAATTTTGGAGAGAGAATGTTCGTGGTGAATGGGCCACAATTATCGTCCTACACTTTATCGTCATATGGCTAGGTCATTTGCCAAGTGTTTCAGATCCTTGTTGGCTCCATAAAATGCAAAAACGACTGGTTCCCCTTCTATAAATCAGCCAATCAAGTAACTTTCTTCCTTTCAATTCTCTTTAATGGGTTGTTCTCTGTTTAATTACTAAACCTTGAGTTCATTTGATCTTATGGTATTCCTCTGGCTTCCATTCTTCGTTGTCGTAAGCTCCGCTATGTAGGGTCTGTTAAGTGTTCTACGTTTGGTCTCAAATCACTTGAGACTTCAAAAAGCAATGAAAAAGCTGAGGATGTTGCTTCAGTTGTTGCTGTTAACACCATTAATCAATCCGAATCAGGGAAGAGGAACAAGAGGCCAACTAACAATAGGGGGCCTATAGATGGTGCTTTTGGATGGTCAGGTACCTATGCACTACATGGTGGCTTCTCTTGTTACTATTCCACTTTCTGTCAGGCTTTCAAGCTCCCTGAATCACCGGGGTCAAAGCTCAAGCAGGAAGGATTGAAAGCATTGCATCCTGTCTTGTTGGTGCTCGGTATTTTTATTGGCGGTTTAAAGATCTAGGAAGGCAGACCCTTTATCGAGAAACTTCAATAGGTTTGGATTTGTACTCTGTATACCATCAATTCTAAATCAATTTTCAATTGCTTGGATGCTCATTTCTGATTTCTAAATTGAGTTCTTGCAATTATGCCATTGTGTTGGTTGGAGCATTTGCTTCTGGATAGTGAGATAGGGCTAGACCCACTAGGCATCTAGGTTTGTCCTGTTATTAGGCTGGCTGTGGTGGACTATTTTGCTTCTGGGTACTTTGTTTGGGTTACCCTTACCGAGAATCTGATGAGAATTGGATACAGGGGGAAGAATTTGCACATGGCTACTTATGATTGGAGGTTCTCTTTTCAAAATACAAAGTTTGTTTAGTTCCTCCTACTTCTATCTCTAGAAATTCAAGCTTTGCATTCATTTCATTAACTTTGTATGGTTAATTTCATTAACGTTGAAGCACTGGCTCCTATGGGTGGTGATGGTGTGCTAAACACATCAAAGCAATCATGAACATTTGTCTACTGTTTCTTGGTGTTCCAAAGTCAATTAGTAACATACTCTTTGCTAAGAATAAAGACATTGCTTTTGCCAGGTTAGTTTTTTCAATTCTAGTACTACTTGGCATGTGGTAACCAGTTAGATTCGTGTTGAATTGTTGATACCAAATTGAACTCTTAGCAATTTAGCACTTATTTGTCAAAATAGAGGCACTACTTTAACTACATGAGTTGAATTTTATAAAGAAGCCACTTTTTTAGTTTTCACTTTAATTAGCTATGTTTTTCTTTGTTGGAGTTGACTAAGAAATATTTTGCCAACTTTTACAACATCTTTTGTTTCTTTGATGAATCTCAATCTGCAACATAAAATAATATTTTCCTTTCAATCCTGAAGGTCTTGTATGATTATGAAGACAAAATCAACCAGGTTGTCTTCTAAGGGCTTCAAGGTGGTCCACACAATCACACAATTGCTGGGTTAGCAGTTTAATTAAAGTTGGTTTTGTATTAATAAATGATTTTTGGCCTATTTGGAAGTGTACGGTTAATAAAGATTCACTTTTCTTGTTTTATTCTTTAATGTTCTATTTTCCTGTTTTAAATATCTAAATTACAACCGAGTTCATTTTCTATGCATTCCTCCTGATAGGTCAAACCAGATCATGTTAATCAAAGACGTTGTTCTTGCAATAGACCAAGTCACAGTTCAATTTTTAGCTAAATTTGAAATATGATATGTTTAGGTCTTGTTTGGAGGTCTCTTCAGCCTTTTGAACTTATAGCTCGTTGACAGCCTAGAAAAAATGGTTGTCAATAGGCTACAAAATCACCTTAGTCCATTGGAGTGTGTTTATGTTAAGTAGGTTATTTCTGTAGCCATTCCTGATCAATATAGGTTAGTGTTATTCTTTCCTTCTTACTTGTTCTGAAAGGGAGTCATTAAGAGATTATGATAATAATAAAAGTTAATCATATATTTGGAACAAGATTGACAATATTGCGAGACATCATTATGCAAATCCTTTCACATAATTTATGATTTAAGAACAAATTAGATTAAAGTTTTCTTATATACCTATATGTGTCGTTTTAATTAGTCATTTTTGTAGATTCATCTACTACAATCATTTACATGGATGTAGGCCACAACTCCAGAGTACAAAACCTATCAAGAACAAGTTCTTAGAAATTACTCAAAATTTGCGAAGGTATAGCTGACAAGAATTTTCCATCATTTGCATAAGATATATATTCCTGCCTCTATGGTGATCCATTTTGGTTATTCTTTTGTTTTGATTTGACATATTCTAAGTGCTACTTGGTGTTCGATTATTATATAATAGGTTTAGTGAACTTCTTTAGTGCACAAATTTTGCAGAGATTGGTAGAGAAGGGCTATGAGCTTGTCTCTGGTGGAACTGAAAACCATTTGGTTTTGGTGAATCTCAAAAACAAGGTAAGCAGGCAATTTTCATTCTTCCTTTTATCTTTTTATGATTTAAGTTCTTTAGATTTTACTTTTTCTTCTTCAAGCAACATTATGATTGGCACTTGATTAACTAGTGAACTTTAGGTAAATTCTTCTACTATAGAACCTTGATGTCTAGTCATTTTATAGTTTCAGCAAAATACTAGATATGCATTTAGTTCAACATCTATAATAGAAATTATATTATTTTTAGCATAAAATGAGAATGCATGAGCACCACAGGACTTCTGTTCTACAGGGTATTGATGTCTCTAGAGTTGAAAAGGTAYTGGAATTAGTGCATATTGTAGCCAACAAGAACACTRTTCCTGGGRATGTGTCTRTCATGGTTCTTRGCGGCATCAGGATGGATAAASTGYCCTTTCTTAATTGAATTGAACTTTCTTGATCCATGCATAATTCATCTTGATGAGCCTCCATCTATGGTGATTTAGGAACCCTAGCCCTCACATCAAAGGGATTTGTTGAAGAGGATTTTGCAAAAGTAGTTAATTTCTTTGACACTGCTGTGAAGTTGGACTTGAAAATAAAGRCTGAAACCAAAGGGTCCTAATTTACAAGCCTAGATTTCTTTGTAAATGTTGAGTGTACTTCATTGAACCCATGTGGCCTTTCATGGACGATTGTTAATGTGAGATGCACTATGTTATGGATTTTCATGACCAGGGACAAAATTGAAAGACTTTTTAGGTACAGTCCAAACAAGTGCTAGCGTCCAATTTGTGAAGATCTGCACACAATGACACACATCATAAA